TAAAGAACCGAAAGGACTTGCGCAAGGGGCTTGGCCTCGCCAACCCCTTGCACAAGTATAGCGCGGATTATGCGAAATGGTGCTGGGACACATCGGAAGACTTTTGACGGGATCAAGGACAGCCTCCTTAATTCCAGACCCCGATCTTCCTTTAAGTGTCGTCTGTGACGTTTTGGACTTTGCCATCGGCTGTGCACTGCATTCGAGAGGCGAGATCAGGTGATTGGAGAAGAACTACCCAGTCTACGACAAGAGATAACTTGCGACGATTTATGTAAAGTTCATGGTGCACCTGTTCGGCTCCAAGCCCTTAGTCATCGATACAGATCATGCGTCGCTAAGCACTGCGACTCAGTCGCCTCACCTCTCACAGAGGATGGCCAGGTGGCTCTCCTTCTTCGCAGAATATAACTGCGAGGTGAAGTATAAGCGGGGAAAGCAGAATGCTTGGGCTGATGCGTTGTCACGCAGATCGGATTATGAGCTTGCTCATGTCATGACGGTGTTTTCATCCGCTCCGGATGTGCGGGTGATGATATGTGCAGAGCACTGCTACGGGCTCACAGGAGCAAGTAGTTTGGAAACTCTGACAATATGTCGCGATTGCGCGCACGGTTGCATCGGTACTCGTTGAATATCGGATCGCTGTATTATAGCACCACCCTGATGAATACGCCGCGAATTGCGGCTCCTTACGATGGGGATCCGAAATATCGAATCCTCTATGACGCCCACGACATCCCACGAAGTGTTCATCTTGGTCGTGAAAAGACCTACAGCTCTGTGTGTGAGATGTACAAATGGACGAGAGCCTATGTGCGCACGTGTGATACGTGTCAAAGGATGAAACCCTTTCCAAATGCGGCCGAGCCGCTGGCCAGTTTGCCAGTGTTTATAGCCAATATGTTTGGACTTTGTATTTGGCCTCCCGTCGGCGAGCTTCACGGGTTTCGTGGTCCTCGTCCACCATTTGAGCAAGATGTTTTATCTTGCGGCGGTGCCGAACACCATCGACGGTGTGGGTACAGCGACGCTGTTTGTGGATCGTGTCTTTCGACAACATGGACTCCCGGAGTCAATTGTCTCTGACAGAGACCTACGCTTCACTGGGTAGTTTTGGTTGACGATCTTCAAGGTGCTGGGCTACAAGCTGGTTATGTCATCAGCGAACCATCCGCAGATCGGTGGTCAAACTGAATGCGTGAATCGCGTCGTCGAGGATGTCCTTGGCAGCGTCTGCGCTGAGCCTCCGAGGTGCTGGAGCGCCACGCTGCCACTTGTGGAGTTCGATCTGAACAATGCAGAGCATGCATCTACCGGCTACACGCCGTTCTACGTGAACGTTTGTGTATACTCGCGTCCCGCTAACACCGTCACCCCATTACTCAAAGCCTTATGGGGAAGATATAGTCGTATGGCTAGCTGATGCCCCTCTCTGTCCGTTAAGAAGTCGCTGATTTTCTGTCTACCAGACTGAGTGTTCTATGACATGTTCGTAATACGATGGTTGAAAGCCAAGACATGCAGAAAAAATATGCAGACGGAAGAAGCAGAAAAAATGTGGAGAACTTTGAGGTCGGAGACATGGTTTTATCAAATGCGGAAAACCTTCCTACACATGCAGTCTTTTCTGTCTTTACGACAAAGCAGTCCACGTTTTATTGGACCTTTAAGGTCGTGGCCAAGCGAAGCCTTGTGTATACGCTTAACTTTCCGAGAAGGATGCACACCCACCCGGTGGTTTATGTGAGCTTGCTTAAGCCGTACCGGGATCCGGTGCAAGTAAACGCAGAAGAGTTGGCGCCGAGGCGGCGCCCAAAGGCTCTCGGCCACCAAGATACTGATCCAGTATCTGGTTGCGAACACGGAGTGCAACGATCTCCGATTCCAACGGCGCCAGGAACTTCACCGTCCCACGAAGCGACGCACTCGTCTACTCGACGGCTAAGATCCGCTCCGACAGAGCGCGATAAATCTCAATGTTAGGCAGTCGGTGCACAATGTGCTCCAAGTTCTCGAGGTCTTTTTCCCCGGTATGGGAGATCGGCAAGATGCTCGGCGGAGTGCCGATGACGACGGACTTTGTCCTCCTCCAGAGCTCGAAGATCATTACGAGTCACCGGACGGCGATCAACCAAGTCGTCATCGTCCGCCACCGATTCTTCTGAATGAGAACGGTGGCGTTCACTATCACGTGGAATGCCTTGTGGGTCGACGTCGTCGATAGGATCTAACCCAATACTTGCGAAGTGGCGAAGATACCAAACCTTGAGAGCTCGTGGGAGTTTGAGGTGCCACTTTGACAAGACTGCCCAGACGTCGTGGACGCTTATG